CCCCGGGGTCTGGGGGTCCTGAGGGTGTGGGGAGCGAGTTTGGGGGTTCCCGGGGCTCAGGGCAGCGGGTTTGGGGGTGCAAGGAAACGTTCCAGAGAAGGGATGGCTCATTTGACATAAATTTGGTCAGGAACAGGACAAAGACGTCCAGGAAAGAAAGGAAAAGAGGATTCAAAGCACTTTGCCTGGACTAGACCTCTTAAGTCCTCTTTCTGTTTTCAAGCCTTTGGACATATTCTTCTTTCTTGCCTTCTCTCTCGTTTTTCTCTGCTTTTGTTCCCACGGGTGGTGGTAATATGGGCTTCTAAATTTGTAAAAGCCCTGAGGTTTAATACTGGTTTGAGAAATCCAAAGGTGGTGTGGGATAAAGGATTGTGCCAGTGCTTATTTGCTACCTGAAATAAAAGCTCTCAGAAACGTTTCTGGTCTGGATTCAGTTTAGCCCTTATCATTGGTTTGAAACTAAGGGAGTGTTCACCTGCAAAGTGAAAATTCGAGAGGCTCAGCTTTGAAAAATCGGTTGGTTTTGAAATAATCTCGATGCAATTGGAACTGCATCACTTTTGCGTTGGTTTCTGGGAGTCCCATCCGGAGCCTTTCCAGTCTGGGCTATCCATCTGGCTTGGTCAGATGAACAGCTCTGTACTGGAACACAGAACTCCATCTCCATCTGCCCCTCTGGAATTCTTTCTCCCTAGCCTGAAACTGCGCTCTCTCGAGTGAACGTTGCACAGCTTCTGAGCTGCACCAGCAGCAGGGAATGATGGCCTTGGTGTCGTGGGGGAAACGCCAGGGCGAGTTACAGAACAAATGCATGAAATCAGGAGGACTTCTGAGACAGAACAGCTCCCTGTGTGCAGGTGGGAGTGTTTCTGTTGAGCTGGACACCAGAAAGCTGTGTTTTAGCTTCATCCCTGAGTTCCTTTACCCGCCAGAGCACATGCAGTTGCTCCCCCATGGGTTCTGAGTGATGAGCTCAGCTTTGTGACACCACACTGGAGATGTTTTTTTTCCTTTTTTCCCCTAGCATTGAATCCTATTTACAGGGTGTTGGGGAGGGGCTGTTTGTGCTGTGAATGAAGGAAAATGGAGAGAGAGGAGGAGGAGGATCCACTCTGCCGAGGCTGTGGGGAGGACTCGAAGGGTGGGAGGCACTGAGGGATCCTGCTGGGGATCCTCCTGGAGGTGGGAGGATCCAGGGGCACAGGATGCAGGTGTGGCTGCTTCCGTCACTCACTCCCTCTCATCCTTGGCTTTAAGAGGTCAGGAATCCCTTGCATCTGCAGCAGGAACTCAAGGAAGACCTCAGATCCTTCTGGAGGACTCCTCAGCCTTTTGTGTGGACAAACAGCAGAGTGAGGTGGTAAGAGAAAATAATCCAGGGATTCCTCCCTCTCCACAGCCTTTCCTCTGGACAGACTGTCTCTCTGGCTTTTTTTCTCCCAGCATTTTCTGCCCCTGTCTCCAGCCTTTCCTCTGGACCAACTGTCTGTCCAGCTTTCTTTTCTTCCAGCTTTTGCTTTGCTTTGCAGAAAGCATCCTCAGCGTCCTCGCTCTGGTGTGGGATGGAAATGGGAGTTTTTCCAAGGGACTGGAGGCACTGCCTGGTTTCACTCTCTACCCGGTTAGGAACTTAAATTCAGAGACTTGAGAAATTAAGGGGTGAAATTGCTTTTTAAAACACTTTGCTTTTAATGAGTAGCAGTTGTAGCATACTGGAGCTTTGCAGACAATTAGACATTAGAGGCAGAGCAGTTGTAACCCTTTACTTTTAAATTCACAGCAACTTCCAGCAATTATTTGTCAAACAGTGAAAAGAGCAAAGACAAAGCCTGAAATAGTGTTTAGTTACACAAGATAAAGTGCATATATTAGATATGTTAGAAAATTAAGATTATAAATTAAAATAATAATAAAATATTATATAATATAAGAAATTAAATAACCCCCAAAAGTCTTCAGTCCACTGTACTTGGGCAGTTCAAGAATGATGAAAGCTATGGAGTTAAATTTGATTTTGTGTCGGGGTAAGCTGTTGTAACACTGTCCCAGGAGCTCCAGAGATGATTTGTCACAGTGCTCTGGGAATCTTTGCTGGAATATCATCCCTCAGTGTTGCCATTCAGCTGCCTTTGGGAGCTGTGTGATGAATTTTCCAGTGGCTCTGATTCCCCAGGAGAGCAGAG